TATGAGTCCTACTGTTTTTAATAATCATATGCATCTTCTGTGAAGTAGAAATTTTAAAGTACTATTTTATAAAAAATCAACGCCAAGGAAAGAATAAATGGTATATGCAAAGCCATATAGATGAAAATAAGTAGAGTGAGGATTACTAACTGGAATTCAAAGTTCAAGGCTTCCTATTGTGATATGGTCAAGACCGTACATGTTAACGTGATTTCTGACACCCTGCCGTCTGACACATGCCTGATTTTACCAGGCACCAGTTTTCTTCAAATCCGTCATGCTGCCTTCCTCACTCAGATCTTTGCTCTTTTTTTTTTTCCTAACTGGAAGATTCTTTACCGCCCCTCTCCTAATACAGACAGTGTTCTTCAGATCTTAGCTTTCTGAGAGAAGTCCCTTGACACTGTGAAATGGGTCAGGCACTCTAAAAAGCGTTAATAGAGGTACTTGTGCTATTTTTTCATAGCACTTAGTATAATTTACAATTATATATTCATATATTTATAACCTTAATGAGCTAATGCATGTCCTCTTTAGTTAGTTGCACCATGGAGATAGTCTCTGTTTTTCATCCCTTACATGGTACAAAAATCAGGTGATCAATGTGTAGTTTTTTTGAATAGAAGGATGACTTCACACTCCGGTTTTGCATTATTTTGTGTATATACTTACTGCCTGTATCCTTCAAGAGCCTGCAGAAGGGTCAGGGTCTTGTTTGTTCTATTCATTGTGCATCTCTAAATCTGGCCCAGTGCAAAGCAGATAGTGGATATTGCGTAAATATTTGTAAACAAATGACAAAAGTGAATTATCTGGTTTTCCAAGAAGATGGCACGCTTCACTGCTCAAGAGGGCACAAAGTGCTCCTGGGAACCTTTGTCCAGAAAGCCTGTTTCATGACCACTGTGTCAAGGAACACTCATTCCTGTCATACACACCCATTTAATTGTCTTGTAATACAAAAAACACCTTGTTCAAAAGAGATGCACTATTTTTCATTATGAATGGAAGAACTGTGTATGATGACCACTGTTAACAGATCACACACAATGAAAAATTAGATAACTTACTGACACTCGACTCAGCTATGATTTTGAAAATAGACTACATAGCCTGTGAGAAATTCAAGGATGGAGGTACCAATGTCAGTTATTACCTTCAACAGAGTTAAGTGTAACTGCAAAATAATTCAAGATAACAAAAGATGATGCTAATAGGCTGTCTTCTCTATGTGTCAAGTATAAGGTATTTAAAGACTCAAGTTTAACCAAGTAGAGAGACATACACAATCTCCAATTTCATCAGTGGCCTATAGGTTGACTGTTTGCTAGTCTTTTGTGCGTTAGTAGGTTTTATGCTTAGTAGATGTTATTATTTGTTTTTTTGAAACAGGGTCTTGCTCTATAGTCAGGCTGGCTTTGTGCGCATTACATAGCTTAATGTAGGCTGTTCTCAAACTCACAGAGATCTCCCTAACTCAGCCTCCCTAGTGCTGGGATTACAAGCATACATCTGCATGCCTGCCTTAGTATGCATTACTATTACTAGATATACTAGATAGAGCAGTAGATGACTCCCATCAAAAAGACAGTTCGTTGCATTTACACATTCCAGGAGAAACATTTGTGCCACTGTGGGGAGCAACAGAGCATGCATGAGGTTTGGTCACAGGTAGAAGGAAAGATGAAACCTGTGGGCTGGTATTTTTATTGTGGTTTCCACAGGAAGAAATAGGTGGGGCTTTAGCACTGGCCTGTTTGAATAGCAGGCCCTGGGGTGAATAGGGCAGGTGTAAGGTGGGAGCCAGTATAAAAGCCTGATAAGGGAGGCTCTTGGGGTGTGGTTTCTGAATTCTTTGACTTGTAGTTGAAAAGTGGACCCCTTGGTGCTCCCAAGGACAAGGTGGGAGATGAGGGAGGAGGGAGGTTAAGGCAAGGAGATTGAAGCATAACAGAGTCTCCGGGAGGAGGTGTATCCGGCATCTGATGGTAGAACAAATGTGAAGGTATCCAGTTTATAGAAGCTACTACACTGGGTGATCCACTTGGAAGTGGATCAACAGTTTGCAATCTGTAGAAATGAAGATAATCCTAACTATCCTAATTTTCCTCTGAACTGTGGTGCCAGGCTTCCTAAGTTTAACTTAGGTCTTATACAGTTTGAGAAGTCATTTTTGAATAAATGTATTTTAATACACAAATAGAATATTGGTTTACAAAGTAAATTAGTAATGGCTCCAGTGCTTTATTAATTTCACCCTACAGGACACACATGCTTTCCCATTTCTTAAAACCTTACTAAAACAACAATGAAGGGAATTTTAATAGGTAGAAGCCCAGAGAAATGAAAAACTAAAAACGAAACAACAGCAAGCATATTTGGAAAATGCAAAGCAGATAAAATAGTACATTTTTCAACTGTTCTCCAAAAACTGCATGGTAAATCAGTAGTGAGGAAAAAGAGGGAACAACTTGATTCTGAAACATAAATAAAAGACAATGATGCCTGAGATATGGTGTAATAAACATGATGTATTAGGGTTAGGTAAAGAGTAGAGGAAGGTATTTTGATAATTGTTGACACTGGGTAATGGATAAGTAAAGATTAACTATACTCTGCTTTCTACTTTGATAAATGTTTAAATTTTTCACAACTGAAAAAAAATTTTTTAACAATCTAAATCATGTTGAGAAAGCGTCCTCATGAAAAGCTTTTCTAAAACCTGTATGATAATGTCTTCATTCTCAAGGTCTTTTCTGTTTTGATAGAAATCTTTCTGAAATGTGGCTTACATTTATCTTCTAAAGCACAGTGTAGTAAAATTCAACGTAACCTGAGTTTTAAACATTTCTAGCATTTTAATGAACACCAGTTGCCATTATGCCAGAGAATTGGCTTTAAATGCTGATATAACAAGTATCTAAGACAGGAATGAATCTTTCTTGACACAAACAGTGGCCACAAAGTAGATAATGGTTCCCAGGAGAGCTTTGCACCCTCTTGAACAGTGAAGAATGCCTATCTGCTTGAAAAACCAGCTAATTAGTTCACTTTGTCATTTGCTTGTAAATATTTACTTAGCACCTACTGTCTTTCTGCTTTGCACTGGGCTAGATTCAGAAATTCACAGTGAGTAGTGCAAATAAGAGCTGACCTTTTTGCAGCCTTTTGGAGGACAATAAATATGCACACAAAATAATGAAAAACTGTAAAAGGCGAACAAAGCTCAGATAGGTGACCTGACAAGGGGCTCACAGACCAAAACTGTTGAATTGGGATTAAAAATCCAAACCACTGTGCTTTGTAGCTCCAGGCTAATGCCTTGTCTATCAAATTTTAGAAATAAGCAAAACCTGTTTCAGGAAGAGCTGAGGAGCAGCCTGCACTAGAGGTGCCTTTCCTTTAAAAGAGCAGTCTTCAACAGTCTGGCTTCGCTCAGGCCACATGTCTGTACTGGGTTCTTTGGTGATAGCTGAGGGCTCAGTGCTTCTTAATCTGTAAACAGAACTGTAATGCAACCCCCAAAATAAACTTAATCCATTTTACACTTAGAAAAATAAAGATCATGTCTTAATATTTTGAGCTATCCAATCATTGTTAAAGTATTCCCAGTTGTCACACAAATGCCTTTTTTCAATTGATTTGTTTGAATCAGGATTCAAGCCAAGTCAGTGTATTCTGGTAAATCTCTTAAATATTTTTAACATTTCCTTTCATTTTTTAATTTGCTTTTTATGGCAAATTGAAGAAACTAGATAATTTATCTTATAAAATAATCTCACGTTTTCGATTTTACTGGTTACATTCCTGTGGTGGCATTTAACAAGTTTTAAATCTGTTCCCTGTAATTTCCACAAACTGATAGAGCTGGAGGCTTAATAGGTTCTGATTTGATGCTTTTGGTAAAAATACTTCATAGATATTCCATCATGTTGGAAGACACACACTGAGTCTATTTATGAAGACCCATGGGGTCTGGTATCATCAGCTACAAGTCTGTAGTGCTTCTCAGTTCTGCCTGTACATTAGAACATCTGTGGAGCTGTTACACATATCTGATGATCAGGCCCCACTCTGGGACTTGGTCTGTGGCTGGCCTCCACTCAGTAATCTTTTGACTCTTAGGTGATTCCAGTGTGCAGACTATATTGAGAATCCCAGATCTGATAAATTTGGTAGTAATTAAGAAACTTATCCTGGAGATTCAGTATTGCAGAGGAGTGTTAAATAGTGGTGTGGCAGTGCAATTTCTGGACATATTGACAAAAACTCTTCTTTTGAAACTTTCACTCAGTCTTTGGTTTTTTATTTAGCTTGTACAGGAAAAGTAGGATAAATAGAAATGAAAATTCTTATCAATCATCTGAATATTAAGTTGAATATCAATGGCCTATACAGGTGACCAGCTAGTTTGAAGAATTTTAAGTTTATAGATTTTAGAACATATATTTTAAATCACTGTATTACTATTATTATTTTAATGTTGACATTGTTTACATTTGAGCCAATAAAAGTCAGCTCTTGACATCTTTTTGACAACATTTAGTTACCCAGTAATAGTATTTAATCACTGCCTTGCTTTTAAGTATGATAGTATACTTTGGTCATCTTATAAATTATTTTTGGTACCAGGGATCGAACTCACAACCTTGCACTTGCCAGGCAGGCACTTATACCGCTGAGCTAAATCCCGGCCCACTACGTTTGACAACTTAATTGTTTTGTAGTTTCCTCATTTTAGTGATGTCTGTCCTGAACCTGAAATCCCCATTTAATAGTTTAGTTTTCTGTGTCCTATTTGGTGGCATTCTATTTAATGGTTATGGAATGATCACTAACTGAATTGAAGGTATTGTAGTAATTGTAAACGTCAATAGGTAGAAAGTAGCAATTAGGAAAAGTACAAACGTTATGTAGCAAAATCCTTATTTTTAAAAAGCCGTGAACCCTACATGGGCTGTTGCGATCTGTGTGTATGTGTGTATCTGTTTTCTCCACAGTTAATGTCCATCAGTGTGTTGGCCGTCTCTGCTTGGATGAGGGATTACCTGAATAATGTTCTGACTTTGACTGCTGAAACAAGGTAAGCTCTGTAATTGTGACAGAATTCTTTCATTAGATTTCCTCAGTTTCTGGGTTTTAAATATCTCTATCCCTAGCTGTTTACAGGGTGGTGCTTGCCTGTGGTCTTTAGAGCAATTTTTCTTGTCCACTGCAGTCTGCTGCAGATGCTTGCATTTTCTTCAAAGTCTGCACCACTCTTCCAGGGGGGCAGGTGGCAGCGTGTTCATATGGACATTTCCGGATATGGTAACCTCAGCTGCTTGTCCTCTGCCTGCGTCTCAGCCATGTCATTTTTATGTCTAAAGAGCAGCATAGCTCCTTTTTCCTAAGAAAACCACTGTCAGTTTCCCCTTCCCTTTGTTTTCTTCAGCTAGTAAAAGCCAAACCTCACAAAGCCATTTTCTTCTTAAATTTCAAGGGTTGATCCCCTGACATCACAAGGGACAAATTACTTGTCCTCATCTCTGAATGGAGATTGTAATATATACTGCTCAGAACCGTGGTAAGGATTACACGAGGTACCTTTTTGTAAAGTCCTAAGCACAATGGAGCTGTAAGCACATAATAACGGTTAAATTCTGCATTGTATCTTGGGAATATTTTGATGATGTCTTATTTACAATAGCCTGTGATTTTCTTTCAGAGTGGAGGAGGCGGTCATCCTGACTTACTTTCCTGTAGTTCATCCGGTCATGATTGCAGTTTGCTGTTTCCTTATCATTGTGGGAATGCTGGGATACTGTGGAACCGTGAAAAGAAACCTGTTGCTTCTTGCATGGGTACAGTGTTCTTATCTTCATCTTATTAGAGTTAAAAAACATCAGCTGGCAATGTATTATTTGTTATCAGTCTGCAAGATTGTGTAACTCCAATCCTGGTGATTGTTTGGCTTCCTGTGAGGCTGAAATCTTTCCTTGACTGATGATTTTAAAATGAGTATTTGCTGTACTCAAATGATGAGATATGCAAATATGTGGGCTATTTAATTATTTTACCCCAGCTATGTGTCGACATTTTCATTTGAAAGCATTATTTCTTTTTAGTGTCATAGGCCTTATTACCACCACCAAAAGAAAAAAAAAAAAAAATCCCTTGGGACTAGAAGTGAGACGTCATAATGGAATTATTTTTCTTTCTCTTCTAATTTTAAACAACTCATCCTGTTAACCCATGTGGAATCACACAGTGAGGTAGCGGATGGAGACTGTAATCCTGGTGCTGTGTTTGTGTAGTTTAGTGGATATTAGTGAGTCTCAGTTTCTCGAAACTTAATTGTTTTTTCTTAACTCTTAAGACTTAGTCTGAGTTACTTTTTAACTTCATTACATCATTCAAATTATACAATTAGTCTTTTAAGTCAAAACCTATCAAATTATCTTTTAACATTAAAAATTTTAGTCATTTTTAAAATAGCTTTTACAGTATACAGATTTTTAGAAGAGGAGCAATGTTATAAAATATTACAGATTAGTGGCAAAAGTAGAGAGGCTGCTAACATAATCGCAGACATGCAAGACTCCTGAAAAATTAATTCATTGAGTGTATTCCTTTCTTTACATTATTCCTCAGTCTTGGCTGTGCATTAATTTTATGTAGGAATCTGAAAAATTGAGTGGTGTTCCGATAAACTGGATCCCTGGGTAGAAAAAAAAAAAAAACCCAGCTGCACTATTTGAGGATTTCAATGGGACAAATGCATGTTTGATTTCAAGTTACCAACATGACAATCCTGATTGCGAAGTTGGGAAAAGAAGAGCACAGGCTGGCTGTCAGCCGTCAGTTTGCATACGCCCGCCCGCACTTGGCAGGCTCCCCTTCCATTCCATGCCTACTGAAATAGACAGTTAGTGTGAAGCTGCCCTGAAGCTCTGAATTCACAGGAACAACCTGTGTTAGTGCATGACTGGGCTTCTTGGAGAACAGCTCTTCAGAGTGAAGACTGGAAAGCATAAAACACTGTCAAAAGTACACCATACTTAGAAAAAGGAAATATGCCCGACCGCTTTACTTCTCCACACATGGATGGGTAATGAAGAGCAGAACAGTGAAAAGGTTTGGAATCCTGTTTTGAGTTACACTATCTGGGCAATAATTCTAAAGTAAACTAAAGGAGTTTATGGCAATGTTCCATAATTTGAGGGATATATATTTAAATTTTTTTAAATTTCAGAATCTTATTAAAAAATAATAGTCCCTAGCATGATGTCTCCTAACCAGTAGCCTACATAGCCAGTTTAAGTATGGCTTCCGTCTTCCTCCCTCCTTTTAACTTTTATTCTGTGCTGCTGGGTTATGTGATGTGAAGTGTGGGTAGGCATTTCATGGAAATACATAACTTTGGGAAATAAAGTTTGAAAACTATTCATTCCATTTACTTGCCTCTAAAGCTGGTTGACAAAGTTAAGTTGGCCTGCAACTTAGGTAGGACAGACCATGAACTTATAACTGACAGTCAAGTTTGGCATATGTGGAAGAGCTTTATGATGGAAAAGTGACATGGAGGGCCAAGGTCTTAAGGGTGACTAACTTGTCCATTTATTCACTTTTCAACACTGATTACATCTACACTCTATCTGTTCTATCAGGTTTTGCTATTAGACCAAAGTATATGTGACAGGTAAACAATCCTACTGTCTCTTACAAGACCTCTAATAGGGTTTACATTGGAGGCTCCTAGACCAGAGAGAAAGAGATCTACATTTACCCCTAAGAAATTAACGCCGGTTTCTGGGAGAATGACAAGTTTAGATGGATACTTCCTTTTTCCTTCTCCTTTGCTTACTGGATGTTCTCTTTTTCAGGAAGCAACTTTTCATGCCTTTCTGTTCCAGAGTCTATGGATGCCATCTGCATATTGGTTGCTTCTTCCTTTGACTGCTTTTGGTCATCATTTTCCATTCCTATTGTGGTGTATCTCTACTAGTGCCAATGTAGGCCTCACTCTATCTTGCCCAGAAGGGATTCTTCATTGCTAAAAAATGAGCTGTGGCCTTTACTCTCAGTTACCTGTCACTCACACCCAGTCTACATCTGGTCTGGTTCCCCGGCAATTTCTTCTGTGGCCTCCTCTCCATGTTCCCTCCCCTATTCAGTGGCCAAGTCCTGTATGTCCTGGTTCTACAGGCTAAGTACTCCCCTCTTTGCTATTCTTGTTTGGAATGCCTTCATTCTGGCTCTGCCGACTGCTTGCCTGGGTGTAGAGTCTCCTAACTATCTTCCTGCCTCTGTTGTCTAAGACAGTGCTATTGGGTTAATTGAATACAACCACAATCACCTTATTCCTCTGTTCCAAGCCTTTGGTAGTCTTCTTGTTGAGAAATGAATGCTTGCAGACACCTCAAACTTGCATCAAGCCTTTCAACAGTCTCGCTTTCATCTGCCATTTCTAGCTTTCTAACCTAGTTCAATATTCTGTGGCCAACGTATGATTTTGGTCCCTGAACTAATGTTTCTTACTTTGTTCTCCCCTGCCCTTATTCTTACTGATCCTTTAGCTGCAAATTTCTTCTTAATTCTTTTGTTTAAACATTACTCGCCTGTTAAGACTTGACTGAAATGCTACCTCTGGAAATAACAGTGATGACAGTGATGGTAGTAAAGTAAATAACATTTCTAAGGTGCTTACCATCCCCAAAACTATACTTTTCAATAATTGTTACTTGAAATGATCAATTTTATCCTTTCCAGAGTTCTAATGAGATAGGTACCATTACTGTCACATACTACAGAGGAGGAAATGAAGTACAGAGATGTTAAATGGTTTTTGCAAGTTTACACAGCCAGTAAATTGAGGGTCTTCTATTTTCAACACGGCTGGCCATTTCCAACAACACATTTGTAAAACTTTTGGCATTTTACTCCACAATGGATGACTTTTCCTAAGTTGTTGCTGTGATGTTTTGCAGCATATAAACCATTTTATTTTGCAATTTTTCCCTTTTTATTAGTATAAATTTGTGATACATAATAAATTCATTAACCATGGGAAAATGTTACATATATATGCTGCATCTTTAGGTAATATTATTCATTTTAAACCTGCCAACAGTCATCTGAGATAGATAAATATTAAATGAAGCTTAGAGCACTCAGTAGCATACCAAAGGTCACTGGTCACTAAAAGGCAGAACTAGGATTCAGACCCCAGTGATTCTGATTGCCAAGCCCACTTTTTTACTGGGCATTTACTCCATGTCTCTGATACACCCTTCTTACCCTTTGAATTCCAGGGTGTTATACTTACCATGAATTTCTCTTTTTATAATCAGCCCAAGCTATCATACTGTAAACAACTTGGTAATATGAATCTTGCCCATTGCTTTCATATGTGTTTATTAAACTCACTGATGGGCAGGAAACCAGGACAGCGATAGTAGGGCACTCAGTATGTTAACCTCAGGCTGGTGCCTGCTTTCAGACTCCAGTGAGGTGGGGGTGGTGGGGGGAAGAGGAGGGTGGAGATCAAGAGGATTTAGATTCCAAGGACAGTGCCTCTGAAAGGGGAGTAAGTTAATGCAGAATGTAACATGCTAAGTCTTTGGCAAATATTTGCAAGGGATCTCTTACATGTTTTCTTTTATTTTTTCTTCTTTTCTTGCTCGTTAGCATTTTATTCTAATTTTTAAAAAATAGACTGTTTGTTACTTTTATTTTGGGTATAAATATTTAAACATGCAGAAATTACTTGTCCAAATTGTCCATTTCCCTATATTGAGTCTTGCTTCACTTTTAAGACCTGTAAACTAGATTTTAGTGAGAAAGTTATTTTTTAAGGACAGTTATGTCTCTGAGAGCTGCTCTGTCTCTTGAATGATTGTGAAAAAAGAACCCGCAGCTGGGCAGTGATGCTGTTCAAGCAAAATAAAAATATTATTCATTTGCCTGGTTAGAAAAAAGAACCTCCTTCAAAACCTATCTTTACAGGAACCTGTCTCTGCCACCCTTACTCCACCAAAAAAAGCAGTAACCAAAGCTAAGAAGCCAACTGTTAAAAAACGTTTCTGCTGAAGGGTTATATATTTGACCTTACTGTTAAATTATAGACTTACAGATGCAAGTTTTTAAAATACTCTAGATTAAGGTTCTTTAGTTAAAAGAAAGAAAAAGCTGTCGAATCAAATTAAGTTTCAGGTAAGCAATGAGTAATTTTTTGGCATGAGTATTTCCCTGCAATAGATATACATGATGTACTGAAACATTACTTGTTGTTTACCTGAAATTGAAATTTAAATGAACATGCTATGTTTTTGTTGAATCTGGCCACCCGACCCTAATTAGATGTGTTCTTATTAAGTGTGAAACTGTCATAGAAAGAAAAACATTCATGTATTTATATGAAGAAATTAAGAATAGTTAAAATCTAATTATAATGGGAAAATAGGCCACAAATGACTAGGAAAAGAAACTTGAACATGTTATAACTTCCAAAACAATTTCAGTGGCAGAAATGCCTTTTCTTTAAACAAGAAATTGAAGCTAAAAGGAAATTGGTTTTAAGCCTTAGATGGGTACTTTCCAAGGCTTGAGCAGTAGACTAAATGAAATTCATTTGTTATGGCAGTTCTACCTTGCTATTAGCACAGGCATTAGGAAAACAGTGCCAGCCCAGGCGGAATGTAAACAGATTCAACAGACAGGTTCACAGTGTTGACATCAGCTGAATGTCACCATCAGGAGATTATTATTTGTCAGGATGTGATACTAATATATGCTTACCTGCCAACAAACCACAAGCAGTCTAGCGCTGGGCAGTAATGAAGGGGATGTACTTAATATAAAG